TCTAAAACAGCAATAAGGATAATATTACGTTATCTACATTATTATGTAAATGACAAAAAACCTTAACGCAAAAATTGGGAAACGCAAAGTCCAAAGTCTTTATATTAAGGGCCATCAGTCAAACAATACTGTTTGGTCTGGGTCTAAACAGAGCACATTGTGTGTGACGTCTTCTTTTGCGCATGTGGGCCGCTTTGAGCGTTCACAGTAGAGCGCGTTTGCTGTCGCATTTTATTTGTAGTGTGAACGAGCAGACAAAAAATCGGATTTGATCAAAAAACCGGAATTGAGCATTAAGACCTGCAGTGTGAACGTAGCCAAAGAAATATTTTTCTTATTTAAAATGTCTAGCTTTTAATAAAAGCTAGATATTTGTGTTCCTCGTCGGTCCATCATGTTAAGTCCGCGTCTAAGTCTGTCATGTGTTTCATGTCTGCGTGTTCTATGTCGTCAGGCTCGCATTGCCATGTCTGCGTTACGTTTCCTGTTTTATTCTGAAGAGGTCTGGTGTCCCATGTTCATTGTGCTTAATTTCACTTCCCCTGTAGCAGCATTATGTTTATTCCAGTCAGCTGTGTTCCCCTGTGTGTTTCCTTTTCCCTCGTCAACCTCATGTGTACTCATGTGGTCTGCTGTCATGCATTCATTGTCAGGCCATCTGTTGTTTCATGTATTCATGTCTAGCTTTGTTCATGTCCATGTCAGGGTTTTTCATGTTCTATTTTAGTTTACCCAGTTCAGGTTGATGTTAGTTTTGGATTAGTTTGCCTTGCCCTTTGTTTTGTACTGTTAAAAGCAGCTCACTTTCTGTTAAGATTTTTGTTCTCGCGTGTCTGCACTTGGGTCCTCCTCCTCACTCCATGTAGTTAGCTTCCCCAACTGTGACACTCTGCATATATATGCTGCTTTAGTCAGCCCAGAGGAAAAGGGCACGGTGGAGGTTTTGGAGGTTTTCCACAAATGGTTTAAAAGTAGTATTAAGGGGCTGGTTTTTAAAGTAAAGTGTGAAATGTCTGTCTGTGGAATCTGTTCAGTTAAAGTTCGAACATTTAATAACAACAGGAACGTTGATCAAAGTGCTTTACAGGAGTACAAAATAACTTATATCAATATGAAATATTGCTCACATGGTTCAAACATTATCACTTCAGTTTTTATTAAGCAATTTGGAGACTATCCAGGCACGGAAGTAAGGGTTCTAGTGGAGCAGAACACCTTCCCTTCAGTTGAAGGTAGATCTGAGTGTCATCAGCGTACGAATTGAAACAAATTTGATATTTTACGAAAATTAGACCTAGAGCCAGCATATAAACAGATAATAAAATTGGCCCCAATATAGATCCCTGAGGAACTCCACAAATAAGGGGGAATGATGAAGATGTAAAATCTCCAAAGTTCACAGAAAAACTCCTGTCACACAGGTATGACCTGAACCACTCTAGTAGAATGCCCGCAATGCTCCACTCGTGAGAGCAACATGCTGTAGTCAACAGTATCAAACTGTCAGATCCAAAAGCAAAAGAACAGCTGAGTCACCGCTTTTACATGTGCAGTTTCAGTGTTTTAAAGAGCTGAAACAACATCATTTAGACAAGATCATCAGGCCATTTTCATAGTTTCTCCACCTGATCAAAACACAGGCTCAAACTTATCAAAGACAGAAGAGCAGGTGAAGGCAGGGCCATCATAGATCAAAGCCATTTCATCTTATTGATTAAAAAAACTGCAAAAATCTTTCTGAACTATTAATACAAGAAGATGGAGAAATATTCAGAGCAGAATCAATGACTGGAAGAAGGAGCCTGAGGATGTTACAAAGAGGCGCAGTGTCAGTTTTCTGACTGACAGTTGTGAACAGGGTGTTTTGTTTTTGTTTTGTTTTTTGCTGGCCTTATGGAATGTGCATTTTGTAAGACTTTCACTTTCAAGAAGCCAACAACATTTTAAATAAGTCACAAATGGGAATTTCAAACTCTCTGGCACACCATTTACTGCAAACTGCACAACATCTAATGTGTCTAATGCCTGTTGTGGCTGGGGTGCTAGGGGTCACCTGTGATGGCCCTGGTTTTCCTGAGACAGGAGGATCTGGTAATGGCCTCCAGGGGTGGCAGAGGGCAGACAATGTGTTGTTGTTTTTTGTGGTTTTTTTGGGCGGTGTTAATTACCCTCTGTGCAGCCTTCCTGTTCTCAGTCGTGGCCCCTGCGTACCAAACACCCAGGCATGAGGAGAGCATGCTCTCCACTGAGGAGCGGTAGAAGACCAGCAGCAGCAGCTTCGGGTCCAGGTTATTCTTTCTCAGGACATGGAGGACGTTCAGCCAGAAGGGTGATGGTGTTGTGGGTCCAGGAGAGTACAGTGGAGATGTGCGTGCCCAGAAACCTGAACGTGGGGACCGATCCCACCAGCTCACCATTTATAATGAGGGGGGAGTGGACCTGTCTGTGCCTCCTGAAGTCCATTATGAGTTCATTGGTTTTAAGGACGTTCAGCTTCAGGTTATTTTGTGAGCACCAGCAGGACAAATTCTCTGCCTCCACCCTGTACACTGTCTCATCTCCATCAGAGATGAGCCCAACCACCATGGGATCATTTTCAAATTTTATGCTTCTAAATTCAGATAAAACTGAGGTTACTGTACTCGGTCCTAAATAGAATAGAAATACAGTATCTAACCAGATACTTATTCTGCAGGGCATTACTGTTGCCAGTAGTAACCTGTGACATATCATGGTTTTTGCCCAGTATATGTCCTTCAATGCACATATTAAACAAATATGTGGGACTGCTTTCTTCGATTTGCACAATATCACTAAAGATTCTGTCTCAGAGTGACACTGAAAAACTAGTTCATGCATTTATTACTTCTAGGCTGGACTACTGTAATTCATTATTATTAGGATGTCCTAAAAACTCCCTGACAAGCCTTCAGTTGATCCAAAATGCTGCAGCAAGGGTACTGACAGGGACGAGAAAGAGAGCGTATTTCTCCTTTATTGCTTTATTTTTATTGGTTCACTGACCCTGGAGACTAAGAGAAACCTGATAACAGAACAGATAAAGTCACCATGAGTGCTGCATGGCAGGCAAGTTCAGGACCCAAACGCAGGACTCAAAACAAAAGCGTGAACTAAGAGAGACAGCTATATTGCTGAAATAACGATATTTAAACATAGAAGCACTAATAACCAAATACTCAGAAATAAACAACTGGGAATAAACTAGGGAGCCGAGAAACACACAGCTAGTGGGACAACACAACAACAAGCAGAGGAAGACAAAGGGCTTAAATACACAGAGGGGTAGCGAGGGAAGTAGAACCACATGGGGAACACAGCTGGGAGAGAGCTAACATAAGCAGACAGGGAGGAAGCAAAACTGAATGCAGGACTTGGAACTGTCAAAATAAAACAGGAAATGTGAGACACACACTAAGACGCAGACTTAACGCTATGACTGGGGAAGAAACAGACATGAGAACATAACTGACTAGGGAGACAGAACAGGAATGCTGTCTGGACACAGGAGATGCATGAACATAGAGATATGGGGGACTAGACATGGCACGTGGAACCCAGAAGAGGTACCGAAGAAAATCAAACTCCTAGACACTACAGAAAATAGCCAAGAAACTAGAAATACAAAGACTACACCATGAACAATGCTAAATAAATGAATATTCAGAAACCAGAAATCAAAGATCAAACACTTCATTAAATAAACTAAAGTTTTGGTGTAAATCAGGTGTTTCTTAGGCTCACAGTGTTGGGGAGTAACGGAATACGTGTACTGCCGTTACGTATTTAAAATACAAAATACGAGTAACTGTATTCCCTTACAGTTACCGTTTTAAACGATGGTATTCAGAATACAGTTACTTTGTTGAAATGAATGGATTACACGGCGGTATTTTCCTGTTTCATAAGGCTATGAACTCTATATTTTTGGTGTCCACGCCGGTGGAAACCGAAACAAAACACGCATTAAGAGGCTCTAATGCCTGTGGCCCATGTGACCTCTACTTGCGGCCCGCATAATGACGTGAAGAAATATTTTAAAAAATTATTCACAAAAATGATTTAATATGAAGGCAATAGGCAGAGTGTTACAGGCATTGCCCTAAAGAAAGTAGCCTCATGGGCAGTGTAGTCCGTGCTGCAGGGAGAATGGACTGACATACCCGTGATGAGTCTGTGAGCGCGAGGGAAGGAGAAAGAGTCGAAAAGTAAGAGATGTCACCAACCAGAAACAAGAGATGGAAGCATGTAAATATATATATATATATCTATATATATATATATATATTGAAGAAAATATAATCTGTTTAAACATTGTTCAGCTCTAAAGTTACTGTGCAACTGTGTAATAAATATTAATATTATATATATATACTATATAATAAATAATATATAATACTAAATATAATATACTCATATAATGTGAATATAATATATAATACACACACGCACTCTCATACTCACTACAAGTTGACCCAGACAACAAAGTAAAGCTAGTTTTCGGCTACGAGCCCGACACAGAACCCGACGTATTAGCCAGAGGTCCCTTTACGGTTTTACCTTTACTGGAGCCGTGGACCTGTTTTATATACGCGCGGAATAGTTTTCTATTTGAGATCGCTGCAAAAAGTGCAGCCTTACCTAATGTCCACCCTACTGTTACTCATTTATATTAAGATTTAAAAATCTAGTTGGTATTGGTATGGCGAGTAACCTTCAGTAAAAGTAATAAATCACACAGCAATAGTACATTCATGTAGTTGTAAAAAGCATGATAATATATTAAGTAATCCAAAGTATTCAGAATACTTTACACTCATTGAGTAACGTAATGGAATATGTTACAAAATATATTTTGGGGCATGTATTCTGTAATCTGTAGTGGAATACATTTCAAAAGTAACCTTCCCAACACCGGAGGCTCAGGTGGATTCTGTGATTGGTTTAATATGGATGGCCTTTTCTTCTCGTTCAATCAGATCAAAATGTCTGATGACAGAAAAGAAGAAGATGAGGAGGAAGAAGTCACCTGTCAGCCTCTTCCCCCTCCTCCAGCCTCTGTTGCCTTGGAGACAATGATGTCACTGAGGAGGCAGGATCTGGTGTGCATTGTGTGTTTCGGAAGCTACGACCTGGCAAAGCGGCTGCCTAGGCGACTACACTGTGGCCACACCTTCTGCCAGGCATGTCTGAAGAGACTGAACACAGTCATCAACGAACAGGTGACTGATGACATCACAGACACTTATCTGAGTTTGTGAGAAGCGAAGGACGTGGAAGAGTAACAGGCATGCAAATGTGAGCAGCAGCAGTTAAAGACTGAATTAGAGCTGTGTCCACAGGTGATGTCTGACACACTTGAGAGGTCAGGGATGAGCAGATGAGGGGTTAATCAGACAGACCTAAAGTTGAGGGGTCTGGTACAGAAGTTGTGTGTCTGTAGTCACTCCCCTGTGCTCCACAGGTGTGGATCCCGTGTCCTCAGTGCCGGCAGAACACGCCTTCACCCAGAGGAGGTGCCGCAGCTCTGGACCTGGACCTGGCCACCTTCCTGGGAGTGAAGGCCTGCACCTCCTCCTCCTCCTCCTCCTCCTGGAGCTCCAGTCGCAGAGAGGGCCTGTCAGCAGCAGACGCAGCCCAGGACGGGAAGCTGTGGCTGGGGAAGGAGGCTGTGGATGATGGTTGGTCGCACGGAGGGCTGGCTGAGCCCCGCTTCCATCACTATGGCAACTGCTGTCCACCACTTTCCTATTGGTTGTGCTGCTGGTTCTGTTGCCCAGGGCGGGGCTAACAACAATGGGTGGGGCTAGAAGGGCTCAATGATGAAAATTTAGTTCACTCTTTATTGGTCCCTGAGTTCCTCCTTAATGCAATTTAATCAAAGGGGATATTTTGACCGTTTCCAGTGAAGAGGTAAACAAGAACTAAAGATAATTTAATTACCATGGTAACTAGGCAACAAGTGCTTCACAACAAAATACCTGAACATGAAAAAGAGTTAACCAGAAACACAAACCTAAGAAATGACTTTTTAGCTGTGTTTTAAAAGTGACTTTGAGTCTACAGATCTGAACCTCGGGGGGAGAGCGTTCCAGAGTCTGGGGGCCACTATTGCAAAAGCTCTGACTCAGCCTTGTATGATGCACAGCCAGTAGGCCCTGATTAGATGACCTCAGGAACATCCTGGGTACCTATGGATGTAAAAGTTTACTGATGCAAGTTGGTGCATGAAGAGCTCCTTAAACCTTATGTTTAAGGCTGGAAATCACCTGTTACAGTTTCTGATCGCTTATAGCAGGTCATATAGTTGTTGGCTTTTCTTTGTTTTCTCTGTAGTATTGTAGAGTCTTTACCTTACAATATAAAGCACCTTGAAAAAAAGTTACATTGAATTAAACTGGATTGAATTGAAATGCATGAATCACTAACCTGTGATCTTCCCTCACCCCTTGATAGCTTAGACTCCAGCTTACCCAGGACCCCAAACTAGACAAGCAGTACAAGTATGGATAGAGAATGGCTGAGAGGATGATGGATGATGATGGATTGATGGATGGATAGTGACTATGAAAGTATAGACCTGTCTCTGCTGTTTGACCTGGTAGTTACTAAAAATAATGGAGCTCTGTAAAATGTAAATAAAAGCAGAATGCAATGATCTGCCAATCATCGAATGCTTTTATTTTACTGAGAACACATGAAACATGTGAAAAGATATCTGTTGTTTTTTTAGAATTTGATGTCAGCATATTTCAAAAAAGTTAGATAAGCTATAAACAACCTCAGACGTTTTAGTAAAACAGCAAATTAACATCTGCCATCTAATGATAATAATCCATGATTGGGGTAAAAAAGATCTTCCCAGAGAAGGTTAGAGTTTCTGAGGTTTAAAAAAAAGTTTAGAACTCACTGAAGAAATGAAGAAATGAAGATTTCTGATTGTATGCATCTGTAAGGATTGCCTGATATACAGCTGCAGATAATTAATAGCTGACCCACGATGTTTCACAGGGTCTTCTAAGGAGCCTTCCCTTCCTGTCCAGTTGCTTTGTTTCCAAGTTCCTTAGACTACGATGACCTGGATGACTGAGACCTACACAGGCATATTTAAAGAGTCTTCTGATTGGTGGTAATGGCTGTGTTCTTCCACTGGGTGGGGCTGTAATGGTGCTGCAAACCTATCAGCTGATCAACTCCTAAGAAAGAAACTTGTGAGGTGAAAGTGAGCAGCTGTCTGAGAGACTGTATTCCTAAACAAGAAAGGAAAGCACACACACACACACACACACACACACACACACACACACACACACACACACACACACCTGAATGGATTAACTACACTTTACTTAATCTATTTTACACATTCATGTACACTTGCAGTTTGGACACACCTTCTCATTTAATGTTTTTTCTTTATTTTCACAACTATTTACATTGTAGATTCTAACTGAAGGCATTCAGTGAGAGGTGCCTGAGGTGTGTTTGTGTTCATCGTCGTGTTGAAAAATAAATGATGGTATAACTAAAGGCAAACTGGATGGTATGTCGCTGCAGGATTCTGCTGTAGCCATGCTGGTTCAATGCGCCTTCAATTTTGAATAAATCCACCAACATTGTCACCAGCAAAGCACCATCACACCTTCTCCATGCTTCATTGTGGGAACTGTGCATGTAGAGCGCATCCATTCAGCTTTGCTGTGTCGCACAAAGACACAGTGGATGGAACCAAAGATCTCAAATTTGGACTCATCAGATCAAAGCACAGATTTCCAACTGGTCTAATGTCCTTTCTTTGTGTTTCTTGACCCAAACAAATCTCTTCTGCTTGTTGCTTTTCCTTAGTAGTGGTTCCTGCAGTCTCCTCTGAACAGTTGATGTAGAGATGAGTCTGCTACTGGAACTCTGTGTGGCATTTATCTGGATTTATCTGGGCTCTTATCTGAGGTGCTGTTAACTTGTGATTTCTGAGGCCAGTGACTCAGAGGAATTTATCCTCAGCAGCAGGGGTGACTCTTGGTCTTCCTTTCCCTGGGGCGGTCCTCATGTGAGCCAGTTTCATTATACAGCTTAATGGTTTTTGCGACTGCACTTGGGGACACATTCAAAGATTTAGCAATTTTCCAGACTGACTGACCTTCAGTTCTTCAAGTAATGATGGCCTGTCATTTCTCTTTACTTTGCTGATTGGTTCTTGTCATAATATGAATTCTAACAGTTGTTAAATAGGGCTGTCAGCTGTGTAGCAACCTCACTTCTGCACAACAACGGGGTAATGGGGTTGGGACAAGAAGGCACAGATGAACCCTGACAAGACACCTGTGTCATGAAAACCATTTCAGGTGACTCCATCATGAAGCTCATTGAGAGAAGGCCAAGGGTTTGCAGTGCTGTCAACAAAGCAGGGGGTGGCTACTTTCAGGAATCTAAAATATAAAACATATTTAGAGTTATTTATCAATGTTTTCTTTGCTACATAATTCCATATATCTTCAGATATTCGATTTTTTCAGTTTGTATCTATAATGTAGAAAGTAGTAAAATAAAGAAAAAGCATTGAATGAGAAGGTGTGTCCAAACTTTTGAACAGTAGTGTATATTCTGATGGGAGTCTGATTGTACAGGAAAGTGTGCTATTGAACATCTCCTACAAAGTGATGAAAGTGCACGACAGCTGTACACCAACATATCTTTTATTAATAAAGTGTTTTTTTCTCAGACACCTGCTTGTGTTTAAATGGAGCAACTAATACACCATCCATGTTTTTGTCAAGCATGGTGTGAACCAAATCAGTAAAAATGTAGGATGATAGAGCAAAGCATTAAAGAAAGAAAGAAGAAAGAAAGAAAGAAAGAAAGAAAGAAAGAAAGAAAGAAAGAAAGAAAGAAAGAAAGAAAGAAAGAAAAAGAAATTGATGAGGCGTGAAAGAAGCTGATGTGAATGGCCGATATTGAACAACAACTGTCAACCACCTACAACACAGTTTTGAGATCCTTCCCAAGCGCTTCAACACCCACACGCAACTTGTGTCAGTTGACTTTCAGGTCACATGACACATGATAAGAGAACCAGAGAAACCTGGCCTGGACGATAAAGTCTGACTCATCAGTTGGGTAATCGGTTTACTCCCTCCATCGGGATGGCCAAATGTGACTATTTTTTGACCTTAACCACTGATGACCGGAGATTTTGGCAAACTATAAAGTCTCTGCCAGCTTTCATTCCTCTGAGCTACCTCCTCACTTCATTATTGACTCCACTCCTGTGTCAGACAAAACTGAAATGTTCAATTGTTTTAACAAACACTTTGTTGCTTCTAGTTCTTTGTTTAGCACAGTATCGGATGGGAAAATTCTTGCATACAACTTTTCTAGCAGTGATAACTAATACTTTTTCCTTTAAACCTTTTATGGGAGAAGAAGCATGCAAGGCTTTGAAGAACCTCAACACTAAAAAGTCAACCTGTCCGGACAGTCTGTCTCCTTTCTTCTTGGGCCTGGCTGCAAGTATCATAGCTAAGTCAGATTTTTATTTTTTTTAATTTTCCATACAACAGAATACATTACTGGAGATGTGGAATTGCGCCTTCGTACTCCCACTACTGAAAAGTAATGATTCTTCAATGGTCAATAATTACAGACCAATTTTTAAACTCTGTGTCTCAGCTGTGGTTCTTGAAAGGCTGGTATATAATCAGCTTAAGAGTTACCTGGATGAAAATACTACCTCTCCTTCCCCGTCTGGTTTTAGGATATTGCACAGTAATGTAACTGCTTCCTTAATTCTTATTGGCTGATGATTCTTATCAGCATCATGGCTGACCTGCATCACCCCATCATCCGGAAGTGGACTCTGAACTATCAGGAGCAGGTCGGCGAGATTGTCCAATAGTGTTCCGGCTCCTCCACACTGGACTCTCTTCTCCACACACTTCTTGGACTACATAACACTTTGCATAACACTCTCCTCTCGCTTCCAATAGTTGCACTATTCGGTATTGCACTGTTCGACTCTGTGTATTGTATTTATTTATTCCTGTTCTTTTCTACTTAAGTACAATAGTGTTGTACTCTTAGTTTATCTTATATCTGTATATGTATATATATGTATATTCAAATTTTTTCAGATTTTTTACACTTTGCACCTTGGATCCAGGAGGACGATATTTTATCCCACTGTATGTTTGAGTGTATATTATTGGGTTGACAATAAAACTCAACTTGACTTGACTATTGTCCCATGGTTGATAGTGTCACTATGAGTACAAACCAAGTGGTGGTGCCAGCATCATGCTGTGGAAATGTTTTTCAGCAGCAGGAACTAGAAGACTAGTCAGGATGGAGGGAAAGATAAATACAGCGAGTCATCCCTGATGACAACCTGCTCCAGAGTTCTTTGCACCTTGGACTGGGGCAAAGCTTCATCTTCCAATTCGACAATGACAAAGTAAAGTAAAAGAAAATAAATGGAATCTGGTATGAAAATTGGTATTTAAAAAAGCTGTATATTTCTAAATTGACCAGCGCACTGTGATTTTTTTTAAACATATCTACCCCCACCCCCAAAAAACAAATAAAAAAGTGAACGTGACAAAATATTGGGCAGTAATTCAGAGTCTAATAATAGACACAAAAGACTTCTAATAATACAAAGTAAATAAAAGTTTGGGCAGCTGAGAAGTTGGTGGGAAGCTCAGGCCCTCGCTGTATTTTATAAATGTGTTAGCCTTTATATGTTAGCCTAAAACTCATCATCTCTCTTTATTTCTGTCTCTTAACATCAACATCACTCTGATATTACAGACACACCTTCCATTAATACCACACTGTTGCTGCTGACTTCTGCCACTGATCAGGAATTAGGACCAACTGTGAACATGTTTTACCTGAGCTTAAGATAAGGTGCGACAAACGTTCCCAACAAACGTTCCCAAAACATTTCTGCTGCTTTCATTTTTTTAACCTTTCAGATGAAAATAAAAATTGAGTAAATAAATTCTGTACATTTTTATTTAATAAAGATAAATTTTTAGTTTGACTTCGCCGCCACAGCTCGGCAGGCTCTCCGCTGACTGAAGGGACACCATCCAATTGCTGCCACACTCTCACACAACTCTGCCACTGCGACCACTGGAAGGTTAGAAAGAGGAATGTGCGTGCAGTCTATTTAAAAAGAAAAAAAAACTTTATTCATAATTAGATCTTTTACAAAAGCAGAGAAAATGGAGGAGGTGTCACATTTAAATCCCACAAAAAAAACAAAAAACAAGATTAATGAGACAAATTAGTAATAATAACCCTTCAACCAATCACTGGCCTCCAATCAGATGTGAGCTAGCTGATGCTAACAAAAACCTGTGAGCAATAAAGTTTGAAACATTCAAACAGAAATGTGTTCAGCTGCTGGTCGAGTCTCTGAGTGAGAGGGACAGAGAGGGAGGGGTTTGGCATTTCCCGCTCACGGGCACAAGGCATTCTGGGAGTCTGCGTGCTTGTTGTGATAAGCATCCATTTCGAGTCCTCCGCAGAGAAAAATACCCAGAATTCCTAAAACTCCTCTCTTAAAATCTGTCTCTGATCCGGCCCTGCCCCCTGAGCCTGTAAGTCATCCAATTAGAGGCTGCCGAGGCCTTCTCCCACTCTGATTCGTTGGCCAGGCTGCAGGTTGAAGCTGAAGTCTTTGGGGGCCTCGAAAAGCAGAACGATGGTGGAGCCCAGGTTAAACTCCCCGACCGACTCTCCCTTCTGTAAGGCCACGCCCCCTTCACCAGCAAACTTCACCGTCTGGTCAGCAATGTAGCTGTGATCATGAAAGGAGCCTTTACTGTAACGAGGTGTGTTGGTCTGAAGCTCCTGAGCAATTAAAACAGGAAGTGTTAAAACCAACCATCAATCGATCAGTCAATCAGTTAATCAATATTTCACTATACAGAGTGAACGAGATAAGAAAGACCAACAAGAACTGATCAAAACAAAACGTTCAGAAAATACACAGGAACACAAAGTAACGTCACCTGGTCAAAGTAAATTCTGATTGAACCGACGTTCGTGGCACCGACCGCCGTTAATGAGAAGAAGCCTTGCTGCCATTGGCCGGTGAGAACCACACGCTCGTTAAGGCAAAAGAGCTCTTTGATCCAACGAGCAACACCTGGGTTCACCGACATTAACGAGCCTAACGAGGAAGGACACACAGGCGGGTCAGGGTGGGGGCGCAAAGACCACATGGCTGCACAGGTGAACACACTCTCACCTGGAAAGTGACGCCGAAGCTCCACCCTCCAGTCTGTGGGCGAATGGAAGCAGTGGTAGTCACCTGGAGCCAGGTAAATGACAACGTGGAAAAGGTCGCTGTCGGGAGACGAGAGGAGGTCGTCCCTGAAGGAGGAGGACGACGAGGAGTCTGAGGACAAAGAGAAGCCGGGGTTAAACAGGTAAACAACAAACAAACCTCAAAGATGCCCTCAGGGATTCAACAGGTGTGACTGCAAGTGTCAAACTGAAGTCAGGAGACGAGGAGTCACACACGTGCATTCAGGTGAAGTTCACAGAGAGTCGCTGTATCTTAGTTCTATCAAACCTGCTTAATATGAAACTCAGCAGGTTTTCAAACCTGCAACACCTCAGGGGATTTTCACCTGCATGGTGAACAAATGTCATTTCCAAGAGAAATCATAAAAACTTTGAAGTCAGCTCATTGTGGCAGGGTGTTCTTCCTTTTTTTCAGTGATGCCCGGACCTGGAGAGTTGTGTGGACGGGTGGGCCGAAGAAGTTCCCAGTTCCATTATTTTATTTATTATTATTTATTAATGATTCCTTATTTTTTCCACTAGTTTTTGAGCCTTTATAGGGTCCCACATGATCCCGCTTTTCATTTTATTAGACTTTGTGGAGGGGAAAATAAGTACTTTCATTTGCCATGTATTCCTTGCACATTAATATATTTTGATGCAATGTTTTATTGGGTATATTACATGACATAAAATATATCTGACGTTAGCGTTACAAAACTACACTACGTGAGTACATATGGTCACAGTTACATGGAGGCGGTCTGGTCTTACCTTTGCACCGCCTCTTCTGTGGTCCGAGGAAATGTTCCAGACTGTAGGTGACCCCCTTCACCTGCTCCACCTCTGAGTTCTTTACGCGACCAAAGTGGAGGATCCTTCCATCAGCCGGAGAGGTCTGGAAGAGGCCGGAGACCCCAAACAACCAGGTTAACCCGCAAGTTTAATTGCCTAGTTTAGTGTTATCTCACAGGTTAACCCCTGGTCTAGCTCCAAGTTTAACTTAGTCTCCCAGTATTTTTCAGATTAGCTTCAGTTAAACTGGGCGATAGAATTGATTTTATCTTCCATCACAAAATGTATTGATCTTTAATGATTCACAGAGTTTCACTAGTTGCACATGTTGTCATGTTACAGCTCTATTCCAAAATTAATTCAATTAATTTTTCACCTAAAAATTCTATACACAATAGCCCACATTGACAAAGGCAAATGTTTGCTGAAATTATTTTTATTATTAAAAAGTAAAAACCACAAATATAACAAGCAGCAACAGCATTTATTTATTAATTCAATTCACTTTTATTTATACAGCGCCAAATCACAACAAAGGTCATCTAAAGGCGCTCCATATTGTAAGTTAGACGCTACAATAATATAGAGATGGCACAATACTACTTTTTAAGGTCTGATACCAATACCACAAATTTGGATATCTACCGATACCAATACGAATCCGATAGTCTATTTTATAAGAAGTAAAACTTTTTGTTTTTAAATGTCTTCCTGCATTTTGCATAAGTTCATACCAAAATTTAAAAAAAAAACAAAACATAAAAAACACTATTACACTTGTCTGCAAAAAATACACTGCACCCAAGAATATTTCAGTTTAACAATACTGATCTTTTTAAATCAAAGTATTTAAAGTAACATTCAAATAGTAATTTAAAATGCAATTTTATGCAGATTTCAAAAACTCTTTGTTTCTGAAAAAAAAAGTGCAATATCAGCACAAAATTATGTTTATACTCAACAACTTCAGGTTGTAGAATGGACCCTTTAAGCTTAACAATAAATAGACATCCAGAGTGGAAAGCAGTGCAAAAAAATGCAAACACGGCCTCTCACAACACTCATCTTTTATCAAGTAAGTGTAAGCTGTTTCTCTGACATTTAACCTGAGACTGAAATTTGTGCAAATTCTACAAAAAACTTAAAACAAGTATGAAAAAAAAAAGTGTTTTTCAAAGTTTTTTTTTTTCTCTGAAACACGAAACTGTTTAGCCATGTGTCGTCCCAAGGTAGGTATCTCTGACAGAATTAGTTTCCCCTGCATCACGCTGGGCTCTCCAAATCACAAACAGTATCTCACATTCTTGATTTTTAGTTCACAAACACTTCTTATAATGACTCCTGAAACTTTGCACGTTTTAGCTCTTTATACAGTAAAGTTATAGGACGATAAAAATAATTATCAGGCAAAATGTCCTTCATTAGTTAAAATAATCCTGTCTGATACCACGTGAGAATAATAAATATATTATAACCCTCATACTAAACGGTAATCTAACGACACTCATTTTTCACTTTTTCACAAAACTAAAACATCACTACTTCCACGTCTAATTGTCTGTAATGAAGGTGGAGTAAACTAGATCCGCACTCCGTGCCCAGCGAATCCTCGCAACACAGGGTGAACAAATTTTGTCGGGGATACCTACCTTGGCACAACACCTGGTTTGGCAGCACGTAGCGAGGCTCTGAATGCTTTCAGTGTGAACTCCAGACCACCAACAGGTCTCCCATTCTTCTTTGCAGAACCTCTCGAGCTCCATCAGGCTGGATGAGGAACATCAGCGCATAGAAATCTTCAGATTTCTCCAGAGATGTTTAATCGGGTACAAGGCTGGTCTCTGTCTGGGCCTCTTGAGGACATTCACAGCATGGTCCTGCAGAAGCCTATCCTTTGTTATCTCAGCTGTGTGTTGAAGGTCGTTGTCCTGTTGGTGTTAGATGAAGATTTGCCCCCCCCCATCTTGCCCTCTACCCTGACTAGTCTCCCAGTTACTGCTGCAAAAGTACATCTCCACAGCATGATGCTGCCACCACCTTGCTTCTCTATAGGGATGGTACTGGTCAGGTGATGAGCGATGCCTGGTTTCCTCCAGACATGACACTTCACATTCAGGCCAACGAGTTCCATCTTTGTGTCATCAGATAATTTTGGTTCCATGGTCTGAAAGTCCTTCAGGTGCCTTTTGGCAAACTCCATGCAGGCTGTCATGTGCTTTTTACTGAGGAGTGGCTTCAGTCTGCCTGCTCTAGCATACAGGCCTGATTGGTGGAGTGCTGCAGAAATGGTTGTCCTTCTGGAACGTTCTTCTCTTTCCACAGAGCAATGCTCTCGGTCACCTCTGAGGCCCTTCTACCCTGATCGCTCAGATTGGCTCGGCGCCCAGTTCTAGGAAGAGCTCTGTTGGTGTCAAACTTCTTCCAATTACAGATGATGGAGGCCTGTGTGCTCATGGAGACCTTTCCTGTACCCTTCAGTAGATCTGTGTCTCCATGCAATCCTACAGACAGTTCCTTAGACTTCCTGGCTTGGATTGTGCTCTGACATGTACTCACAGTACTCAGCTATGGTACCTTATAGACAGGTGTGTGCCTTTCCAAATTATGTCCACTCTACTGAATTTACCACAGGTGGACTCCAGTCAAGCTGTAGAAACTAGAGATGGCACGATACCACTTTTTTATGTCCGATACCGATTCCGATATCATAAATTTGGATATCTGCCGATACCGATATGAATCCGATATAGTGTGTTTTAATCAACAAAACTGTTTTTTAAATATCTTGCTGCATTTTGTATAAGTTCATACTCAAGTTTAAAACAACAACTACACTAAAGCTATTCTGTTATACCTGTATGCAAAAAAAATATTTCATAGTTCAGCAATACTGATCAATCTAATAAACTTAAACCTACACCATCCTCCCTATTCTGGTATTTTAAAGAGTACTTAGCATAAATATTAAGCAACCTAACTAATAGGGTTCCAACTCCCAGCAACAACAAAAATAAAAAAATAAAAAAATAGGGAACCACCCCTCACGCTCCACCTCATGATGCTTAATCGACGTAATCAACCTTAATTTGATGCAGTGTGAAAAAAAATGCACAGAAATCAATTATTTTTCAAGAAATATTAAATAGATTCAACATCTTTCTTCAACAAAATTGCAGACTGCACAGATGGTACCTTCCCAAAGGAAAAAGTACTATAGCTTACTAGGGTATATTAGACTTAATAGTCACTATATACAGTAATGGACTTCTATTCATTTTACATCAATTAAAACTTTGGGTGTCAGATAATTATTTATTAAAAGCTGACATTTTAAATGAGAATAAGAAAGAAAAGTATGTCTTTGTGCCCCCTTTTCCCTGTTAATGCCCTATCGGCCCCCCTGGCTAAACTTTGCTAGATCCGCCCCTGCACAGTTACCAGCCGTCAGCTACGTAGAAAAAGATCCTCAGTAGAAAGTAATATTAAATAATTCTAACAACAGCTTATCAAGCTTAAACGTGCTGCTGTTGTTCAGCCGCTGGTTTCCTCTTTCTGGTGCAAAGTGGGCCAAAAGCAAACAGAGAGATGGACTCGCACAGAAAAGCCGATCAGCTGATCATTAAGCAGTTTCATGATTGAAGTAGCAGCAAGAAGAGGCAGTCGCTCTTATCGCTTGTTAAGCTTAACGCAGGAATGCTTTACAAAGATTCAGAGATGGACTTACACACTTGCTTTACTTCTCTCGGGGATAACTTTGTCGGAGATGAAATGCCAGGTTGCTAGCGAAGCTCCAAATGCTATCCAGACCACCGACAGGCATGCCACAGCCGCTCTATCACGTGATGCATACTGCTCCGACGTGCTAACGTTCTGAGGTGAGTTACGGCGTGTTGCAAGTTTTGTGAGGTGCTTTCGTGATATTTAATGGATCGGATTACATTTTTTATTTTTCTCCGATATCCGATCCAGTAATTTAGGTCAGTATCGGACCGATACCGATACGTAATATCGGATCGGTCCATCTCTAGTAGAAACATGTGACCAATGATCGGTGGAAACAGGAAGCACCTGAATTCAATTTTGTGTCTCGTGGAAAAGGCTGTGAATACTTATGTATATGTTACATTTTTGTTTTGTTTTATTTTTAATAAATTTGCAGTAATTTTAAGCCAACTGTTTTCACTTCGTCATTCTGGGGTAATATATGTAAAATGAATTTCAGAATAGGGCTCTAACATGACAACATGCGCAACAACTGAAGCTCTCTTGATACTTCCCTGAGGCACAGCAACGTTATCTCTCAGTTTAACCATGTTTATCTCCCAGTTTAGACCCTGTCTAAGCAGGAGGAGGAGCAGGTTACCAGGCAGGAGGAGGCGCAGAGTGGTCGGACTGCAGGTTTAAGGCGTCGCCTGAAAAATTCTCCTAGATTTCTGTAATGATGTAAATCCTCCACCGCTGCCTCCTGGTGGACAAACAGAGGAACAAACAAACTTTATTTAATAGTAATAAAGAAAACAAGATGGCCAAATAAACAAACTGAGCATGTCCTGACCTGCATGTTCACGCCAAAGGTCCAGATATACAGGGAGTAGATGGGTTTCCGAAGCCAGGTGGGGAGCTCCACCCCATTCAGACGACCCCACGCCCGAGAGAGGAGTCGAGTAGGGAAGGAACGGTACAATGCCACCTGTAGGAGGAAACAGCAGCTACACCTTTGAATTTATTTACATGAGTGGATAAAATGACAAATGACGAGTCATTCTATAGACTGGAGTAAAAAGAGAGAAAGTAAAGGAGGAGTTTTGGGGGAGTCGTGGGTAAGAAGAGAATGGATAAATAGGGGTAGGGGACTAAAGTTTAGATGTCCAACAGTTTTTTAGGGTAATTGAATCCAATCGATGGGACAGATCAATAAGTTTGTTATCAGTGATCAATAAGGTGTTCTGTTTGTGTTTCTGCTTCTGATTGTTTCACGCTTTCATTTTCAAAATGCAGACTGGAAATGTTGCGTCACTGCATCAACTGGTCGATTGATCAGATATTGATCAGAGGAGACAGGAAAGGAGGTGAAGCAGGATGTACGAATATGGCTGCTGCCCGCCTTGCACTTCAACCAATCAGAGGCTTCTTACCCGGCAGGCCAGTGGCCGCAGAGTGCTCACAGACAGGATATAGCACAGGAAGGAGATTGGCCGGTGGCGCCATGCGGCAGGGCGACTCACTCCACCCTTGAGCGCGCTCAGACGGCGACGGAGAGCCAAACGAGGGACCTGAAGCCTGATTATAATAACGAGATTTAACGTGAACATGAATATTTTTCAAATACAAGAAAAAAAAATAAACCAGAACAGCTGATGAGTCCAAGTCATGTAAACAGGCGGGTGTAGGCAGGTGAGGAGAAGGCGGGGCTTGTGCGTGGGGAGAGGCGGAGGAGGAGCAGACGCTAAAAGATAAGAACACTAAAAGAATGCTAACAGGGATGGAGACTGATGTCATGATGTCATTAACTCCCCCAAAATAAACTCTCAGCAGCTGGAGTGATGCCATTTATATTTATATTCTTCAGCCAATAAGATTCAAGGTGCTCACCTGGATACATGAGTCTGACAGAGTGTGTGTGTGTGTGTGTGAGAGAAAGCGAGTGAGCGAATGTATGCGTGAGAGAGTTAGTGAATGAGCGAGTGTGTGAGAGAAAGTAAGCAATGAATGTGCGTGAGAGCGTTTAGGAAGGGGGGTTTCTACGGTGACTGCTTGCTTAGCAGGTCAGCTATTTTAGCTTTAGCCTAGCTTAGTGTGTTAGCCTCTTTCCATTTGATCCTGTGCTAACCTGCAAACCCAGTTAGATAACCACTGTTGCTAATCCTGCTGCAACACACACACACACACACACACACACACACACACACACACACACAAATCCTCTTTAACACACACACACACACACACACCTTTCACGCCTGAGATTCTTGAGAGTCCTTTGTTTTCAGAGGGTCAAAAGTATTTGGACATGTCAACAACATTTAAATGTAAGAACGGTTTGACTGCTGAAGAACCCACAGACTGCTGTGTCTCCTCCTTCAGCTGGCTTCTTCTCTCTGCCTTCAGTTTTAATTACTGAAACGCTGGCCTGAGATCAGCTCTTGGACTTTTCTCTCCCATCATTCTGGTTCAGCTTCATCTTGTTTGTCTGTCTAAAGATCATTTTTCAGATGTTTTAAAGTCAGATCTTCCTGAGTGAGGTTAGTAAGCGCCGTGTTTCCCTCCATGACGGAGTCTCTTGATCACAGACCTTCTCCTCACAGAGACTTCTAATGTTGTGAAGCTGTTTTTCTGAACATGCAAATAATTTTGTCATCACCTTCAGTGCCCTCTCTGCTCTCTCAGGTCTGTTGCTGAGCTGATCAGTGATTCATTCTTTTTAACAGCGATCGAGTTTATTGATTGGGACACTGATAAAAAGTTTCTGCTCTGTGACTGCTATATTTTGGTGTTTCAGATCAATGATGGCCTCTCTCACCTGCACTAACGTCTCTTTGGGCCTCATATTTTGAACATGAAAACCATAAAAATTCAGAGATCACCTCTGCTTCGTGAGTACTGGAATAACATCAACCGTTGGATTACTTCTGACCCTGTGAAGACGGTGGCCCGAGTATTACCTGCACTTCCTGATCTGTGGATCTGATTCGTTAAACTTTAAACGGTATCCTCTGTCCCTTCCTGTTGTGCTTCTAAATGAAACTGTACTCACTGTTTGTGTAAATAAAGTTTTTCTCTACTTCCTCTCCCACCTGAATCGTGCTGTCGTTCTCCTCCTCACTCCTCGCCCTCCTCCATCTTTCTCGCTCTCTCCTTTGGGAGTTCGCCTCTGCCGCCTCACCTGCCGCAGCAGGGCACTCTCACCACGCCTCCTGTCGCCACGGCGACCAGAGAAAAACCTCACCATGAACGAGCGTTGGGCGAAGACGCCGTCGCAGGAGAGCGAACCGGCCGACGACACATCAGGATGACGAAGAGTTAAAGAGGTGAGAGAGAAAGAGGAGTGTCCGTGGAGAGCAGACGGAGAAATGAGAGAGAGACGGAGGAACGCATAGAGGAGGAGGAGGAAGAGGAGGGCATAACGCTGAACAGCTCCTCCTCTGTTTATTAATAGCATGAAGGAGGAAGAAACTGTCAATCATTAATCACTGATCATCCATTCACACTGAACCTTAAATAAAAGCTTCATTTTTTATTCTCAGGGTTAAAATCATTTTTATTTTGGAAAACACTCATGCAGATTATAAACACTCAAAAATTAAAAGTTTGTTTTGTTTTATTTCTCCTACCTGTAATTTTTCCATGTTTGAGGAATTAAAACAGAAAAATGGTTAAAATACTTTTGTTGAGGATAAAATTTAAATTAATTAAAGATTACAAATTTAAAAAGGAAAAAAAGGAAAAAAAGAAACAGCCATTGTTAAATTATTGATCAAATTGTGACAGGTTTTATTATTTTAAATGAGTGTTTAGAATGAAATTATTATTTAACTATTAAAACTATTATTTCAATTATTTTTATTTGTTTTTAAATTACAAATCTGCACCAAAACAAATAAAATAACTGAAATAAATTTATATTTCAACACTTTATGAAGAGTTTATAAATAAAGCTCATCTTGTAACCGGAAGGTTACCGGTTCGATCCCCTGCTCTGTCCGTCTTGGTCTTTGTGTCCAAGAAGTTTGACCATATTACTCCTGTTCTTGCTGAGCTGCATTGGCTGCCTATTAAATACCGCATTCAATTTAAAATTTTGCTGTTTACTTATAAAATTATCAATAATACTGCACCAACCTATCTTAAGGAACTTTTAAACCCTTATGTCCCTGCCAGGGCTTTAAGGTCATCCTCGCAGTTATTGTTAGTTCAGCCCAGATCTCGGTTGAAATCTAGAGGCGATCGATCGTTTGCCTTTGCTGCACCTGAGTTATGGAACAGCCTCCCGATTGGCATCCGGGAGTCTGATTCTATTTTTTCTTTTAAAGCACGCCTTAAAACTTATCTTTTTGAACTTGCCTTCTCTACCCGTTAAATGCTGACTTGTTAACTGCGACCTATTGCATTAACTTTTTACTATTCCTTCATTCTTGGTGTTCTCTATCATGCGGCACTGGGTCTGCTATAATCTATGTGCTGCAGTCCATTTTATTAGTGGCTTTTTACTGTGAACATTGTCTGCTGTTCTTATTATATTGATATTAATGTTCTTAACTGTATTATTTTATTGTTTTTTTTGTAAAGCACTTTGGTATGCCCAAGGCTTTTAATGTGCTCTATAAATAAAGGTTGTTGTTGTTGTTGTTGGGCAAGACACTTCACCTACCACCTACCAATGGCGCGATATGGCAGCCTCGCTTCTGTCAGTCTGCCCCAGGGCAGCTGTGGCTACAACTATAGCTGCCTCCACCAGTGTGTGAATGTGAGAGTGAATGAATAGTGGAATTGTAAAGCGCTTTGAGGGTCTAGAAAAGTGCTTTATAGATGCAATCCATTATTATTATTATTATTATTATTATTATTATTATTATTATTATTATTATTATTAAAATGTATTTTGTCAGTATTATTTAATTATTTTTATTCTCTGATAAAAAGTATTAAAATTATTGTGTTTTTCTTTTAAAAGCAGAAGTGAAAAAAGCCTGATCATTAAACCTGCAAATAAAGACTTTTGTGCCAGTCACAGGCCAACCAATCAGAGCAAGACAACCGTGAGGAGAGGGGCGGGGCCTGCCTGAGTGACCGAGCTGTGTGACATAACATCACCTTTCACCCCGATAACCAACCAACCAGCTGACCTGCTGTGATGTCACCATATGTTGAGGTTGAGGTTTTGTTTTTTTAAAAGCTGAATGTGGCAGCTTCCAGGTGAGGCAGGCGTGACAGGTTAGCTCAGGGGTGTCGAACTACAGGCCTCAAGGGTCGTTGTCCTGCATGTTTTAGATATCACCCTGGGTCAACACACCTGAATCAAATGATTAGTTCATTACCAGGGATTTGGAGAACTTCAAGACAGGAGATAATTTAGCCATTTAAATCAGCTGCAATGGATCAAGGACAACTAAAACCTGCAGGACACCGACCTTTGAGGCCTGAAGTTCGACACCTGTGGGTTAGCTGATCTTAACAGGAAGTGAGGTGTCCTGTTCTATCAGCCAATGGTTAGTTAAAGCACAAACTTATAGATCAACTGTCAATAATCAATAGCTTGTCTGCCTTCTGTCATCACAGAGTAACTTTTAAAGAAACTCAGCAGAATCGCATCATCATTACATCATCACCCTGAGCCTTCAAGCACACAGGTGAGGTGTTACTGACACGTGAGATCAAAACTAGTATTTCATTATTTCAACTCGGTAACTACAGTGATGAATAGGAGGCGGAGGGCATAATGTCAGCGGTTCAGAGGGGGAGGAGTCAGTCGAACAGGTGACAGTCCAGTTTAAGCTCAGAGTGGGAGGAGGAGGAAGGGTTTATGGGCTGTTTGTGTCCTCTGATAGATTCCCTGTAATAACTGATAACTGACTGTTGTGTAACGCTGACCGCCATCACACCACGTTTCATCTCACAGCGACCTTTGACCTATCCTCAGCTGCTGACACAGCTGGCCTTCTGACTGACACATTTCAGTGTTTAATCGTTTCTGTCACAGCTCCACAAACCCCCTGCGTCTCTTTCAAAATAAAAGCATGAATTCTTACTGAACCACTCTAAGTCCTCCTGTCGTCAGTGAGAGCCCACGAGCCCATGGCACCAACGCCAGCGGCTGCAAAACACTTCCAGAGGCCTCAGAGCATCAAAACCTTCACAAGCACCGCTGATGATGTGATCCCCACTATGCTGTAATCCTCCGGATATGATTTTAAACAGAGAGACAAGCTAAACACAGTCTCACACACACAGACACTGTAGTTACAACGTAAAGTTTTTTAAGAGCTTTAAAATGACTAGTGGCAATAAAAACTGAGAGAGAGAGTATAAGAATGTGTAAGAATGAGTCCATTTACAGGTTCACTCTGATTCACCGTAGGGGAAATTTGGGGCTCAGTTTTGACCTGAGGACTCTGCCATGCAGACCAGGAGAGCAGGAAATCAAACCATGGACCCACAGCGCCCCCCTCAGGCCCATGAATCTGTACGTTTGTGTTTAAAATCACGTAAATAATCAAAAAACTAATTTTATCTTCTTCAGTTACTGTAAAAATAAAAGGCTTCTTTCTTCTGTAAACATAATCAATGAACCGACGCTCTGACTGTAAATAAAGTTTGGAACAAACCGAAGGCCCGAGGAACTGCTTCCTGTACATTTGGTTTGTTTCCTGTTCAAGACTTTCATTTTTCTGTGAATTTAAATTTTTTTAAAAAAGTGTTTCAATCATCGAGGAGCTCAATCAATATGAGCCCAATGCTTCCTGTCGCCGCTGTCACAGAAATGTTTAAATATCTGTGGAGTTGTTGTTTAAACGTTGCGCGAGTAGGTCGTCCTGAACATGAGTGTTTCTGAGTTTTTTCTTTGAAATGAGGCAAACAGATTTTATTGAGTCGATTTATTTGGGGAGAAACTCAAAAAATTTCAAGCGTTTTGTTTCTGATGACCAGAATCAGCATCTTCCACCTGACAGCCGAACGTCTCGATTTTACTTCGCAGAGACAATTTTTCCCATGCTGCCACCGACCAATCACAGAAATGAGAGCTACAAACACGTCGCAGGTAAACAAAAGGCACTGACTCACTGCATTGTGAGTCTGACTGCACGTGCTCAGTGTTACAAGGCAAGTGAGGAGACATCAGAGAAAGTTTTCACTTTACCTGTGTGGGTGTAGCCACAGGGGGCGGGGCTCCATCCTCCCCCTGGCCCCACTTCTGGTACTGCTTGTAACCAAGGTAACCACCACCAGTCACCAATAGGAAGGGCAGGGGCCGGGGGCCTGGCAGAAGCCCACGTCCTGAAGAGACAGCGAGAGGCGATTGGACTACAGAGATTACATCATCCACAAACAAACAACAGCTGAAGAGCTCTGTCTTCTCCAGTTTTGGGGTGGGGGTGGGGGGCTCACCTGTGCTGAAGCGTCTGCAGCTCTGAGAGAAAACTCTGAAAAACAGGAAGGACGCTCAAACTGATCAATCAGATCACATCAGTTATCAATACATGAGACGTTCAGCGTCAGAGAGCACAGGTATCGCCCCTAGTGGACACCTGCCCTGGGGCAGACTGACAGAAGCGAGGCTGCCATATCGCGCCATTGGTAGGTGGTAGGTGAAGTGTCTTGCCCAACAACAACAACAACAACCTTTATTTATAGAGCACATTAAAAGCCTTGGGCATACCAGGTGTCAAGGTCTCTCTGAGTTTCAGAAAACAAAGATGCTAAATGGTTAATGACTCATTACCGAAAGCGACACTGAAAAGCTTAAAAAGAATGTATGTGTGTGAAGGTTCTCGGACATCCAGGTCATCGTGGTCCAAAAAGCTTCTTCGGCTCTTCCTTTATAAACAGGTGAGATGAAGAACAGATAAATACCTGCCGTTGCTCCATACCCTCCGAAAGGCCGCCGCCATCTTGTGTTTCCGGACGTGACGTATGACGTCGTGCGTAAGAGCACTACTGGAACGAAGCCCCGCTCCCCCTTTGTCCCACGTGAGGAAACACAAGTATTTCGGTTTATTCTTGATTAAAAAGCTTAAACGATCATAGACGATTTATTAATTTTAAGATGTAATTATTGTTCAATTACGTAACATCCTGATAGCCAAACATGCTCCCACTCTGGACCACACTACTTCACCTAACGAGCAAACGGGTCTCCCGATCACCTGGGACAGCTGGGACAGATATGTCAGCGGGCTCTTCATCCACTACAGCTCCGCCTTCAAAACGCCCCCCTCTCCACCTGCTCGTACTCACCGACCGCCCACAGAAGGTCAAACTGAGCCCACAGTTCCACACCTGCTCACTCTAGCAGCACCACAGTGGATTCAGATTGACACTGCTGCGGTTCATCCATAGACAGGAAGTAAGCCAGAAACCTCTGAGGGGCTTTAATGTGAAGACAATCGGCGGATCAGTCACGTTAACCCTCAGCTTGCTGGTGTCTTATCGAAGTGACATGGTGTGAGTCACGTGGTGTGATGGTGTAGTTTATTATTGGTGTGAAATCAGTGAAAATCTTAACTAGCAACCAGCCAACAACATAATCAGTGTAAACAGACTGAGGATTATTGATTATCTGGTTATTATTTGGTGTGAGACCTTGAGAGTTTATGAAAACTTTAAATTTTAATCACTTTTTGTGAAAATCTGAGTAGATACAAAGAAGGAAACAGTGGTATCAAACATACGGCCTGGGTACCAGGATCGGCCAGCAGGATGTGAACTTCGTAGAGCAGGTCAGAAGCCACGAAGACCTTCTCCCTCTCTGGCTGCGGCCCATCACATCAGTCGTCTGTCAAGCCTCAGATTGATGACACAAAGATTAATCTTCAGTCTGTGGGTTTGTGGACAGCTGCGTCCCTAGGGATCCTGCAGGGGCGCTTCAGGATTACGCTGTCTCTGAGCTGCACTCAGAGCTGCCGAGCGACTCCAATCATGACTCTTATGGACAGAAGCCTGGAGTGGAGGAGGATGGAGGTTTGATGATGTTGTGGTCTCTGAGGTAGTTTTGCTGGATTCATCAGGTGGTGTCCTGCAGCTCAGTGAAAGCCGACGTACTCCGCAGGAAAAGGGTGTTGAGACTGTTTTAGATGGAGGCGGTAAAGCAGGTTGTTTTCATGAGTGATGGAGGTGGGACCAGAGCATGGGCATGGTGCCATGTGAGCACACAGGTAGATACGTACCCACACTCACCCCAGACATGCCGGAGAGACCTCTGACAGATTACAGATAATGTGTAAATTTTAGAATTTCCTATTTTGTCATGGTAACAAACATTCTGACCTCCCATCTGTTTCATCAGTTCAGTTTCTGTTTGCCTCTGAGCTGCATGGCAGTACCGATCTGCAGCATAAGGTCATTTCCCATCTCTCTGTTAAAGGAGCCAATCAGATCAGTCCAAAAATTAATGATTGCAGTAACTGATCCTTCACAGCCACGGTTGATTGATCAGGAACCACAAACTGACACTCCTCTGTGATCCAGCGTTGTTCAGGAGTGTTGATCCAGTATGAGCAAACATTAATGTCCTCTGATCCAGGTGCACACTAACGAGCTCAGGCAAGAAAGTGAGTCCTCCAGGTAATCAGTCTCTTTAAACAGGAACAAAGGGGAACTTTACTGATAATCAAATATCATTATTATGTTAGCAAGTCAACAAGCACATACACAGGAGGTGTTCCTCAATGACCTCTGAATTCAGAAAAATCAAACCAAAAATGTTCCGAGACCAGAAAAACTTTATTGATTCAAAAATAGACTCAGCACACAACATACACACTGCAGGCCTGCAGTACAAAGAGTACTGCACATAACTCTACCCCGTACCATAGAGTACTGGGGGTGGGGGAGGAGAGGGGGACATCTTTAATATTAGCAAAAACAAAAACTTAGAAAAGAAAAAAAAAAAAATGAGTTAGGTTTTACAGTCCGAGTCACAGGTATCCAATCAGCAGCTTAGTGTCTATAATAAGCCCCACCCTCTTAAAAAGGCTCGAAGGACGTTTTGTCATATTTTCTCAGGTGAGCCTATAGAGGGTATGGTCAGCAGCAGGGGCGTGGCCTTACACACTATAAAAAGATCAAAGCAGGTTTATGTTTCACATCTTCATCGTAACCCAAAACAAAAAAATCCAAAAAAGCCTGCCCACCACATCACCTGATGGCGTTACTATGGTGACACTCAGTCAGTGGGCATAGTAGCAGCTCAGTTTTTTGGCCTTTTGTTAGCTGATAAGAAGTGATATCAGAGCTCATACATCCAGACCCTGCCGAGTCAGGAAGTCTTCAAGCGCGCTCAGTCGCTCCACCAGCATCACGTCCAAGTCCATGTCCTCGCCACCATTGCTGTGGCAATGTCGCCGAGCAGCTGCTCTTTTCCTGGGTACCATAGCAGCAGGAAGTCCCGCCCCTAAACACAAAGAATTTTTCTTCAATCTCACAGTTGATGACAAACAGCTAATCAATAATGAGTAACCACTCTCAGTGTGCCTAGGACAACCTCCCTAATGCAAACTACATTTTCCAGTGTACCTTGTGGTCTCTTCCTTTTTCTGGGCTGCGTGAAATCAGGAAAGAGGAGGAGCCTGCGCCTCTTCTGCTGGCCAATTAGGAGCAGTGCTCCGTCCTTTTCCCGAGGCTCCTCAAAGATGGTTTCCAGACTTCTGCAGGAACAAGCAAACCATGCTGGGAGATGGAGTTTGGATATGGAAGCATATTAACATAAAGGGCATGTACAGTCTTTACAGAAAAAACCCTTCACCTGTCATTAGTAGGGATTTGTAGTCTTACCTGTTGTTAGCAGGGGATCTGTAGTTCTTGTTGGTGTAAATCTCCTCTAGACTGAACTCTTTCTTCTTTATTCTGAGAAAGCAAATGTAGGTCCACATTTGAAATAATGTTGGCACTTTTACTGTACATGTAAGTTTTTAGTTTCTTTCCTGACCTTTTGACCTTTGGTAGTCCCATTGGTGTAAGCAGCATTTCGCGCGGTGGCGCACGCCGGATTCTGATCTGTGAGACCCGTTTACCATGCTGCTGTTAAAAAAAAAAAAAAAAGTGGTCTAGGTCACATTAAGGTTCAACATTATGGTGTGCATGGGGCTTGAAACACTTTGGATAGGATTCCCAGGACTTCACTGTAGGACTCCACCTCTGTTCAGTGATGGACGTTCATAGTGGTCGTAGATGGCATCCTTTACCCCTCTCAAACTATGTGTGCTCTTAGTCCAAAATATTACATTTAGCATCTTCAAAGAGTAACCTTTGACCTTTTGGTGTAGGTGTTCAGGTGGGTCCAATGACTGTAGAAAATGACACGACAGCACTTCCTCCCATTGTGCAAAAATGAAGCCAAATTATCCTGCTTCTGGAGGCTGCCATCTTGCATTTTCGGAGCCAGAGTCTACAAACTAGTGACTTGAGGTGGAAGTGGAGCGACTGTGTCCCGCTCCCACCCACACACCCTCTGGATGTGACCGCAAGCACGCCCCCCCATATGGAAAAGAAATAGTAAAAACATATGATTTACTCATGAAAGTGGCCACTTTCTCATTACTTTCATATATTTTTTTAGTAAGTATACAAAACATACAAGTTTCATTGTATAATTTTTCAAGGGATCTTATACGTGTTTCCACTCTTGTATGCTTTTCATACAAGTTTCATACAAGACAGATAAAAACTTTATAAGATTTATATATATCTTTTCCATATGGGCCCCTACACTTTTTACGTAGACCGGCTGCTCCAGTTCATTTGCTGATGGGTTTACCACGACTGACAACTCGTTCAATCAAGGTGAATACAACCATGTCACTGTTACAAAAAAGACACACAGCTTGTCATCTTATAGTTCTACAACATCTACAATCACTCTGTTGTTAATTTGTTTGCTAGATTAGCCACTAGCATACGCACTGTGTTGGAGGCTTGTTGTTACACACCTGTTACTCTAATAGTCTGTATTTTTGAATGATTCAGCACTTCTTAGTTTTTGTTATCCGTTTTTAGACAGCAATGAGATCAGTTGCACACTCCACAGAGGCCCAGAGTTACTGTTAATATCAGAAATGTAATGCTGTCCTTTGAGATTTTAACATAAGACTGTGAGTTTAATGCATGTAAACCTGTTTAAATCTTCAGAGCCCTCTACAGCCTGGTAACATGGAAACTTTAGAAATAGCAGAACGTTTCAGTAGTGTAGTCTAATTTGTTATTTTCATTTAATAATAGAGTCCATATTATATCAACAGCTACATTCACCCTGGGGAGAAACTAGTAAAGGAGACCATCAGGACCAAGCTGGGTTTCCTGGATCCAGAGGTTTGGAGAAACTTCTTACTATTCTTTCATCACAGCTGTCCTGTGCCAGATGTTCTGTTGACCCACAGAGAGGCTTCATTTAAGAAAGACTGAAGCTTGTGGTGGGATCAAGGAGGACCTCATGATCTTCACCAGCAGCTCCCTCACAGGGAAATCTTCAGAGCTCCACCGTAGGCCTGCCCCAGAAGATGGATAAACCCAGCATTTCATGAACACTGCGATGGAGACCTTTGCTTTGTGTAATGTTATAAATACTCGGATACTCCTCAAAGGCTCTGGACTTATATTTAAAAATATATTATCCTCCCTGGTTACTCTGGTATGAATAACTCTGAATCACTTAATGATAAATAACACACTATTGTTATTGTAAAGTAATGCTACTCTTACTTGATTACAATTTTTGAATACTCGACCCACCTCTGCCCCTCCTTTTCCCCGAATTTGAAGGATGGGTTGGGTATGTCTGGGTGTGGCCCACCATACCCCAGAATTCATAGCGCGGCTCAGCCAATTCCAGTTTTCAACAATGGCGGCCGCTACTAAGTTTTTAATATTACTCTTATGTCTCTTTCTGGGTCACAAAATAAACTTTTAACATATTTTCAGACGAGAATGTGGGTGTGTAAACTTCAAATATCTGCTCAGTTTATCAAGATATCACATATTTGCAAAAGTGCTCCGACGTTTTCGGAGACGTCTGTTATCCACGAGCTCGATAGCTAGCCGAGAGCTCGAGGGTCACTGAAGCCGCCGAGAAGGGCACAACTCCCGGCACATCATTTTCAGATCACCGCGGCCTTTCGCTACTCAGGTTAAACATAATATATAAGTCACTTAGACAACCTAAAAATGTTATTGTTTGGCTTTTTTCAGTGTTTTATTTGTTCGTGAGTAAATCGGTTTGGCTGAGATTAAAGTTATTAGATTAGATATAATAAAACTTTATTAATCCCAAGGGTCGTTTTCACACAGCTGAATAAAACAGAAAACAGAAAATTGATTAAACAAAAGTGTGAGATGGTCGAGAATTTACGCCAGTGTCCTGTTGTATTTTAGATAGCAAAGAGCAGATAGCTGAGTTTATTAAACTCCACCGAGACAGCGGTGACGCAAATCTGAAGGCTACACCGTCCAGTTTCACAGCAGTTTACTTCCGGCCTACCCGACCTTCTGAGAACCCGGCCCACGTAGACCGCGGCCGGGTCCTCAGGAGGATGCAGCCCATGAATTTGGACACGACTGTTGTTTGATTTATGCTATGTAGAGATATGAGGACTCCTCCCTGTGACTTTAGTGTTTAGTTTGTTTTCGCAATTCTATAATTTAATAAAGGCCAACATAAGATAGAGAAACACCCTTTACTATTTGAAATATATTTTTTTAAATAATAAAAACAAGAAAACAACTTCACCTCTCCATTTGTGCTAAGAAACTCAGAGCTGACTGCTGATTGGTCAGCTGGGAGTGAAGCAGGCAATCCATTGGCTGAGCAGGCAGGCAGGGGCCGGGGTCGTCGCCGTGGTAGGTAGAGGCTCTGAGTGCTGTGATTGGACCGCTGCTTCTGCTGTCGCCAGGCAGAAAAGGCTGGACTGAAACGCACAAGAAGCACTTTATTTATTAGATTTTTATCCAAGTAAGAAACACAAGTTAAACTACTTATGATGTTAATAATGATGAGGACATTAAACATATTAATATATCACTGGTTAAACTAATTATATTAATATAGACTGTTTAGTTTCACTGAAGAAAAGATTTATTTGTATAAATGAAAAGTTAAGATTCATTACCTCAATATTAGCGCTTGAACATAACTGTGAAGATGAAACAGAAAGACGCCTGTTAAGTAAATTCTGTGATTTAAAGATTGTTAATTAGCCTAATTTAAAAACAAAGTTCGACCAACCAGTGGTCGCTGCTCAGGCTGGGTGGGGCTGTCCAGTCCTTCAGGGACCGCTGCGGACTACAACAAACTCCACCCCTCACAGAATCCAACATCATTTCCATGGCAGCTGCTGGCAGATGAAGCAGGGGGGCTGGGCTAACAGAATAAGAGGCGGAGCAAACCCTTAGATGGAAAGCAGCGCGATT